CAGGCTATCAGTAATAGACCAGGCACCAGGCTTCTGCTGTTATTGAGTTGATGGTATTAATAATCGTAGATGGTAATACTGGCCATAGTGGTAGTGGTGGCGTCTCCTAGATGAAAGCCTGGTGGAAGAGCTCCGTCTTGCAGGCCCTGCAGAACTGTAAAAGCTCCCGCAGGGCCCTGATCTCTTCTGGGAGCTTATTCTACCAGAATGGAACCGCCACCGAAAAGGCTCTGGCCCTGGTTGCCTCAGGGGCACCTGCCATCCAGCATCATGGATAAAACCCAAAGAGAAATGGAGCAGCCAAGTGGTAGGGTGACAGCCCCCCAGGTCCCAGCTGGGGTTCCTCTGCTTTGGGGGGCTGTGATCTGCCACTAGCCAGCTGACCGGTGGGGAAAACTCCATCCCCCAAATAGGGACACTATCGGGCAATGTCTCCAGCACTCTGGTTTCGGGGCAAACTCTATGGTTTTGAAGCAAAAAGAAACCCACACAGAATTTCTGCCCTAAAACCAGAGTGTCGCATGTGGTGTCACCGATTTGATGACATCGCTTCTGGGTGACATCACTGTGTCAGGACATCGCCCGACAATGTCTGGCCCACTCCCGGAACCCCCCCCAAATCCTCCTGCCGTGATGGTGAGGGAACTTGGCACCTATACCAAGCGGGAAGTGGCTCTACAGCTTACATCTCCCCCACCACCACCATGAGTGAAACGGCTGGCAGATTTCCTTCTAGGCCTTGATTAAAATTGGGTAGGAATGCCAGAAGCTAGATAAAATTACTCTTAATTACGCTATACCACCACCGCGACGATATTATCCATCTATCGCATCTTGGGGAGCAGACGTTTCCCGACTGTGCTGTGAAATACGGCTCCTGGCGCTCTCTCGCTTTTAAGAATACTAGCTGTTAAATGTGGGTTGCTGTGTTTTGTGTATTTCTACGTAGGCTTTTGTAGCACCAGCTTTTACTATATGTGTAATAGTGTTTTATTGCACTTAATTTTTAAACTTGTTGTTAGCCGCCCTGAGCCATTGGGTAGGGCGGCATAGAAATCTCAAAAATAAATAAATAAATAAATAAAATTAACGAAGGACTGAAAGTTGCCCGTCCCTGATCCGTGTGTGAGTATGTCTAGACAGGCGTACACACCCATATACCTAAAAGGGACAGCTTAGGAAGACTTGCTTGGGAGAAGAAATCCCATTTGCCCACCATGACTGTCCTCTCTGTACTGGGCATGCTAGCACCCCGATGTTCCCACCTTCGCCCTTGAATCCGCCTCCCTTGCTGGCTGCAGCTCCTGCTTCCCCCTTACAGTGTCCTCCGCCCACTGCCTTTAGCTCCATTTTCTTTCCTACTCACCTTTTGGGCTTCCATCTTCCCGACGGGGACAGAAATCCCCTGCCTCTCGCACTCTTTTCTCGCTGTCACTCTGAGCAGCAGCAGCAGAAAAATAAACAAAAAATGGTTGTCAGGCCAACAGCGTGATATCACTTCCAGGGGAAACCTGGAAGTGACATCACACCTCTTTAGGAATCCCAGAAGTTCTAGGTTTCCTCTATAGTTTTGCTATAGAGTTTCTGGCAAGTCCTAGAGAGGCGCGAGGGCACTTCTGGGTTTCCCCGGAAGTGAGATCACACTGTTACTGACACAGCATGTGTAGATGACGCTCTTGGCATTGTGGGGAGGCCAGTTAACCTTATTCATTCATCCCCGAAACAGATTCTTCCGCAAATCTAGGGGTTCCAATGGGTTTGCCGAAACTAAATTTGCAGCCAAGGCTGGCTCTGTTGTACAGATTTTTTTTTTACTTGCATAGGGGAGGTCTGACCATAAGCTACTGCCATTCTTTTCGGTCTGTTGGGCAAGCTAAGCAGGGTCGGCCTTGGCTATATTTGGAAGGGTGACCTCCACGGAATACCAGGGTCATGATGCAGAGGCAAGCGATGGCAAACCACCTTTGAAATGTCCCTTGCCTTAAAAACAAGTCTAGCTCACCACCTAGTGGTGCATAACACTAAATGAGCTAGAACATCTAGTTGCCAGACAATCTTGGGATCTCCTGGCTATATTACACACACTGCCTGATGATGGTGGTGGTGGTGGTGATGGTGTTGATGGTGGTGATGATGATGATGGTGATGGTGATGGTGGTGATGGTGATGATGTTGATGATGGTGGTGATGATGGTGATGATGATGGTGATGGTGGTGATGATGATGTTGGCAAATATCCAACCACAGACCCTGCTTAGTGTCCTAGATTTGACGAGATCAGGCTAGCCTGGGCCTTCCAGGACAGGACAAGAGAGGACTACAGTTCAAGAGGTGGTTTGCCATTGCCTGCCTCTGCACAGAAACCCTGGACTTCCTTGGAGGTCTCCCATCCAAGTACTAATCAGGGACAAGTGACCCTTCTTAGCTTCCGAGAGCTGACAAAATCAGGCTAGCCTGGGCCATCCAGGACAGGACAAGAGATGACCAGAGGTGGTTGGCCATTGCCTGCCTTGGTACAGCAACCGTGGACTTCCTTGATGACCTCCTCATACAAATACTAATTAGGACAGACCTTGCTTAGCTTTCAGGATCTGATGAGATCAGGCTAGCCTGGGCCGTCCAGGTCAGGGTGAAATGGACAGCTGGAGAGATCAATGGTGGGCAGAGGTGGGTTGGCCATTAAGGCCACCAGGAAAAGTCCCAGTGGGCTGATGGCTGGGTGCTGCCCCCCACCAGGGTCACCACCCGGAGCTGAGATGTGGGTGGGCCTGCGAGAGCAGCAACAACACCTGCTGTTGCCACCATGACTGTAGAAATGGGCAGGTGGGCACAACCACTGCCACTAAGCAGAGGGACAGGCAGGTGTAAGGAGCTAACGTGGTGTTGCCACTGCAAGCCAGGATTTTGTTCTTCCTGCTTTCCCTCCTCCATCGAGGGGTGGCACTGTGGGTGGTCTGGGGGAGTGGGGCTGATGGTGGGGCTGCAGTCTCATTGGTGTACTTTTATAAAAACCTGAAATCCTTTTGTTGAAACACCTCGGAGTGCCCTTGATTGTATCATGAAATCTGAAACGACCACACCTGATGTTTCTGTCTCTCTAGGAATGGAAGCACTGTGGTTGATTATGAGGTAACATCAGCAAGGGCTATACCAGTTGAAAACGCAAGCGGGAGAGTGGCCACAGCCTTAAATAGCTCCTACAAGGTAGATCCTACCTCATTTAGGAGCTCTTCGGTGGAAATCTATGGTAATCTTGAAGATCTGCTTGCTGAAATGTATATTATTGTTTTGATGGTACCAACACCTTTCTTCTTTCCAGACAGAGAGTACATGCATATCTAGGTCCCAGCAGTTTTGACACAGCCCTTCTAGATAAATCATTTGCATGATCTCCTTTTGGGAGGAGTTGTGCCTTGGTGGTAGAGCATCTGTGTCTCGTCTAGAAGGCACTACAGCCAGTCCCCAGTATCCCCAGTTTAAAGGATCGGGTAGCCGGTGATGTGAATGCCCTCTTTCTGAAAGGGAAGGGGCTGTGTTTCAGTGATAGAGCAACTGCTTTGGAAACAGAAGGTCCCAAGTTCAATCCCTGGCATCTCTAGTTCAAATGATCAGGGAGCAAGCCAGGTGAAACACCTTTCTCCACCTGAGATCCTGGGGAGCTGTTGGCCGTCGAAGCAGATAATGTTCACCACGGTGGACCAGCCATCTGACTTAACAGAAGACAGTTTCACATGTTCAGGATTGCTGTCTCAATTAACTGTGTTACGGCTGCCTACAGAACCATCTGGACATACTCCATGAACAGTGCTTGGGTGGTCAACACCTGAGCCATGCAGGTGTGTTGCAAATCCACACTTAATGGGATGTAAAGTTTATTGAATAGATACACAACTTCACTCTGGTGTAGCCCCCAACAACAGCAACATAACGTACAAGCAATACTCCCTCTAAGCTGTGGAGTCTTATCAGCAAAAATGCTACTTTGTGAGCTACTGGCACTAAAGTTGTGACTTGTGAGTTAGTGATTTGGCTACTGCATTAACTAGTTTGCTCTGGAGCCATTCTTCCTGAGCTAGACAAAAGTTAGTGAGCCAGGGGCTAAAAAAACTTTGAGCTAGCTCACACTAACTCAGCTTAGAGGGAACCCTGCCTATAAGTGAAGGTTTTTTTTTCTTTTTCTTTTATTCAACATTTTATAAACATAACACAAAATAATGGACTAAATCAACAAACAAATAAAAAACCAGACCCATTGAAGCAGAGCATATAAATTATATACAATACATATATTATATTAGAATTAAAGATTTTAAATTCTTCGGAAACACTTCAAGTTGCTGCAAGTAATCTAATATAATGGACCAAACTTCAACAAAATCTAAACAAGAAGAATGGGATTCATACTGGTTCACCTGATAAGTGATTTGATCCGTTATATACATTTCCCGTATCTTACGGTGCCATAATATAAGTGTAGGCCCATCTAAACATCTTCAGGTAGTGGCTATTGCTGTTTTGGGTGCTATTAGAAGGATGGCAATCATTTTTTCCCCAGTGTAGGACTGAATCATCTGGCCAATGATTTAAAAACAGTATTTCAGGTGTCAAGGGCACAACATAACCTGTCATTAAGTACAACTCGTTCAATACTGATCTCTAGAATTTTAAAATTTTCATGCACTGCCATCAGCAATGTGTGTAAGTCTCAACCCTCCCACACTTCCTACAAGAGAAGTTTTGTTGGGTGAACAGGACTCTCTTCTAAATTTCTGCCTATTGTTCAGTTTCTTGCAATCATATGGGAGGGGTCTGTTGCTCCTTAAACTCCACCCACACAAGACAACAGCGAGAGTCATTCTGGGTGGAACTGGATGGACGCATCCGTCTTTCCTGGGTGGAAGCGTCTTTAATGTTTACAAACAAGGCTGGAATCCATCTACCTCGGAGAGCTATTATGAAGGTGAAATGGAAGGGGAGAGAGCCAGGTAGACCACCCCCAAGGCCTTTGGAGGAAAGGTGGGATAAAAATGGAATAGCCAGACAGTGCTTTGCTGAGTAAGCAAAAAAAAAAAAAAGTATGTCACCGTTCTGTGGCCTCATATTGGTAGGGAGCAGATGGCCTCCTACAAACCGCAATGGAAATTCACTGATATGAATCCACTTTGGAAAGTCCACATAACCATATAAATCCTGGATATTTCTGAAGGAGAGAAAAAAATGCCCACATCAGTTGTCAGCTTGAAGTGCCATGGGGGTCAATGCCATGTCCAGAGTTTTCAGTGGGCTTTCTCTATCATGACAACAAAACTCTGGAACTCCCACCTCAGGAAGCTTTCTCTATCTTCCTCTATTGATGTCTTCCGCCAGCAGGTGAAGGCTTTCTTGTTTTGTTTGGTATAACCCCAGTAACTATTACTGACCTTCCTCCCTCATTCTGTTTGTTGATGTATTTTTATTGAATTATTTTAAAATTTAGATGCTGTTTTTAATTGTTCTAATGTTTTTATGCATTCCACCCTGATCTGATGGAAAGGCAGCATAGAAACGTTTCTAAGAAGTCTTTTGACTTATTTGTGTTCTAGTCAGGCCGGCATAGTTCTGTGAAGGACATAATAGTTATTCTGGGTTAGTTGCACTCTATGTAGTTTTTAAAAACCAGAGGGCAATACTCATTTTCCATTGGTTTTGAAAACTTCTTATTTTACGTTGCCAGGTGGAACAAACCTCTCCATTTCACCCCAGCCAATTTTCAAGGGAGATACGGTAACCATGAGATGCGAGTCGAGATCAAAGTCGAGCAACGTGACTTGGTCTGTCGGAGGAAGTTCCATCTCCAGCAGCGACAGGCACTCCATAACGAGCGCACATTCAGATGGAAAGGCAGTATCAATGCTGAAAATCCGAAACGTCTTGCTGAACGAGTCTGGTAATTCTAAGTGAAGAGCAAAATAATGACTAGAGGCTGAGTCGAACCAGTGCTTGCTCTAGGTGTCAGATCAATATCCTGTTAAGGGGGATGGGAATGGGAATGAAGGACGTCAGTCAAGCACTTTGTTATGAGCAGTGGCAAAGATTCACCCAGAACAGTGAGCAGGCCTAACCTGGCGGCTTTTGTAGGGCAGCAACAAATGCCCCACTCTAGTAAGAGGAACTTTCTTATTGCTGTTTGGTCTGGTTACCTTGTTGTTGGTCCTTTCTGCATTTGCCTACCACTCCGGATTTTCTCAGACTGATTTCACAGTAGCCTTTGTCCCGGACTCGCTCCTCCTTTCCCTCCGCTTCTTCTGGTCAATTTCACACCATTTGTCCCACGGCCGCCTTTTGACCCGCAGCTTCCTCCGTTTTGCTCTGACTCTGCTCGATCCTTGATTTGCAAGAAGTTTCCTGTTGCTGCGCGGAGAAAAAGTGGGAGGTGGAAGGGGAGGGGTTAAGAGGGCGAAGACAGGGGAGTGGGAGGAGGGATGATGCAGGAAGCCACAGGAAACCTTGCCACGGAAATCAAACTCCGGGAGCAGATTGAAAACAGCCACGTGCCAAGAACTCTAATGCGAAATCAGTTTAAACGGTCCGGTAAACAGTGGTAAGTAACATGTGAGAAATCGGCCTCAGTGTTCAAGTCGAGGCAGTTTAAGTCCACAGCAAATAGCATCCAAATAACCCGAGGTAACAGCAGGCTAATACCCCCTTTTACACGTGAGCTAGCTTATACCAAGGCTTCTTCACAAAGACGGAACCCCAAGTCTTCTCCTCCAAAAGGCAAACTTTCACCAACACATTCTTATGCAAAGGAAAGAATGTGTTGGCGAAAGTTTTTCTGTTAGAGCAGAAGACTTGGGGTTCCATCTTTGGTGTTCCTTAGGCGAAACGCGGCTTGGTATAAGCTAGCTCACACGTAAAAAATTGGCAGAACCTACATATAATTCATCCACCAGACTCCTGTGAATTCTTAAACCCTCCTTTGGGACTATTTAAATTTTGAAGACATGTCAGACCTACCTCTGCTCCTTCTGTACTGTGAGGCAGATTTTCCCGCCAAAACACTGTTCACCACTCTGACTGAGCAGCCTCTTAATAGCGGGTTTGAATTATAAACTTATAACTTTCTTTGTGTCCCACCCAGTATTAAAGAAGTTATTTCGCTTTTTCTCAGGCCAGAGAAAAACTCAGCCATTTTATAAAACCCCTTTGGAAATGGCACTTGACACGAAGTAAAGTTGAAACAAAAGGTTGATTTTATTGAACAGACACAGTTGTAACAGGAATAGGGCAGGGATGATGATTTCTTTAAGTTGTAGTTCTTCATAAGAAAATTAGAATATATTGAACAGGCCCGTAGAGTATGTGTGAAGCTTGAATTCTAAGAGATTTAGTTATTTAATGTGAGAGGTTTGTTTGTCTTGGAGATTTCTTACAGCAACAAAGTGTCTTAAGTTAGAACTTACTTCCTGTATATCAATATTTCCCTTTTGGAATGATAATTTTCCTTTTCTGTACTCTTGAGGAGTCTAAGACCGTTTCCCTTTTCACTTCTCAACCTTCTGTGTTGAACCCTCTGAATAACTGGGTAAGGAGTATCCCCCTTTTCCTAGGAGCAATAACTTTTTCCCGTTTTCCACTAATTATCCAACCCCTTCTGGCAAACCTAAACCCCAGTTCTGGAGACGGTGAATAAACAGAGAATTCAGCTAGTGCTGACACTTAGACGTTAAGTTCTTTCTGAATTTTCCCCTGAATGTATTGTTGTACAGTAAAGGCTAGGAGTTGTGTCTTTTTGCTTCCCAAGTGACTTGTCTGTTTCCCTCACACACACACACACTCCTCCTGACTGGCAACTGCCAAGTCAAAATTCAAACGATGACTGACAGACTGACTCTCTGACAAGACTCACAAGATTTTATAAAACTCTCCTCAGTTGGCGCTGACCAATCAGAGAGAAGGGGGTGCAAGCAGGCAGCAGCCTGTCACTCAAACTGCTTTTCAGTGAGGCATTAACCCCTAATCTCCCAGAATTCTGAGTTCGATACACTAAGTATCCTGGTTTTGGAAGTCAGTTCATCACAACTGTGTTCTATGTTATTAGAGCTCTGGTGCATGTTGGTAAGAAATCAGGTGTAGTCCCGGATTTCTTAAAATATCAGTGTCCTTTGGATGCACAGCATGGCTTTATATATCCAATTTCATCACAGTCGTTGAATTGCATTGGACTATGTCCTCCGTATTATATTTTGATACATTTGTCTACAATTTGAGTCTGAGTAGATAAGACCAATGCTCCCTCTAAGCTGTGGAGTTTTCTGGGCAAAAATCCTACTTTGTGAGCTACTTGCATTAAAGTTGTGAGCAGGCAATTTGGCTACGGCATAAATTAATTTGCTCTGGAGCCATCCCTCCTGAGCTAAGACAAAAATGTATGCGCTGGAGGCTAAAAACTTGTGAGCTAGCTCACACTAACTCAGCTTAGAGGGAACACTGGATAAGACTGACCTCAGTGGACAAAGGGTCTGATTCAGTAGAAAGCAGCTGAATGTGTTTGTGTGATGACAGCTTACTGTACGGAATGCGCTTGCGAAAAAGGGTTGTAGTGCATGAAATCAGATGCTAGAAGGAAAATGGATACGGCTTTAACAACCGCCTTGTCAGCCCAGAGGGACGTATTTAGTGGGTTGGCTGAGGCCCAGTGTTTGTTGGACCACAAGCTGCCTTGTGGAGAAGAGGCAGACTGGGAATTTAAAGAGGAGTCATTGAATCCCCAAAAGTTTAGGGAACAGAGGTGTGTGTGGGGGGAAACCCATCGGTCACCCATTTTGTTCTTGCTGCAGGACAGTACAGTTGCACTTTTACTGACCAGGAGACTTCGCCGACCACAATGCACACAGCAGACGGTAACATCACCGTTTCTTTGATCCGAATTGTGAATTCTGAGGACATTGTGATGGAGTGCAACGGTGAGAAGAGAGAGCTGAGCTGTTGCGTTGATACGGAAATTAGTTTCTTCAACGTACACTGGAAACCGGATGGAGCCATCAATATTTCAGGTAGGAAATGAGATAACCTCTCATAGTTCCTTGCTACGGCAAAGGCGTTTCAATGCCTTGGGTTAGGGTTAGGGTTAGGGTTAGGGTTAGGGTTACGGTTAGGGTTAGGGTTCAGGTTCCATGAGGTGACATTGACATTTCACAATTCTGTATGCTTGTACGAAGAGCGTGGGGCACAGGGAAGGCTAGATAAAAGATTGAGAATGGACTTTTGCAGCTGGGAAGCGGAGGAGTCCTCACGGGCATGCAATTAGAGGCCTCACTGGCTTAACCAAACAAGAGCTGGACACTGTGATATTGGATGGAGTGAACCCAGGAATAGCCAAGTGTAGCGGGAAAACTGAGATAGAGACCACCAGAGAGATCAGGAAGGAGAGTCAACAGCTGTTTATTTATAATGCGCGCAGGTACAGCCGAGAGCACCTCGGGGCACTCTCAAAACAGGGCTGCACACCAAATGCAGGCGGGACAGACTTATATAGATCTGAGACAGAGTGCCCCCCCAAAAAAATCATTTTTCCTTGGTCATTTCTTATAATTAGCATGCAAGACATTGACCATGAAGTCTGAAGCATTGTGTTCTTTTTCAAAACCACAAACATCCTTGGCTGGTCACATGTCCCTTGTGGGAAGGCAGATAGTTTCCTGTTTTCAGCCAGGTGTTAACTTTCTTCATGACAGAATAATAAGCAGAGGTCAGCACATCCTTAGTAACAGTCTAGCAACGCTTAATATGGTCATGCAATCTTGTTTCCCGCAAAGGCTCTATTTCTTGTCTCTGGTTCTCCTATTTGCAAAAGCTGTGTTCCCTGAATGATTTGCAAAAGCAAATGCGCTTCCCTAATGGAATGGCCTTATAATGCAAGCAAATTGCAGGCAAATGCTTCACAAGTTCAGGCATCAGGAGGCACCTATAGAGACAGGACTCGGCTCAGCAGTAGAGCATCTGCTTGCACAAAGAAGGTCCCAGTTTCAATCTGTGGCATCTCCCGTTCAAAAGGATCAGGGCATAGGGGATGTGGTGGACTTCTACTTGAGACCCTAGAGAATCACTTCTGGTCAGAGTAGACCAGGCCCATAGCCATGGGGGGCATACGAGGGTGACACCCCCCATGAATATGCCCAGCCCCTGCAGGAGGGGAGGAAGGGAAGGAAGGAAGCCTGCTGCAGAAGCAGGAAGACCTGGCGAGGCTGCACGGAGATTGTCCGTCTCCCTCCCCTTCAATGGGAGCCTGAGCCACGGGGGGACTTGGGAGCTGCCGGTGGCTATTGAAAGTTCACCCCCCCACACCCCCGCCAGTGCCAGCAGGTCCAAATTGCCCCCAATTTGCCTCCCAGCAAAAATCTCTGGCTATGGGGCTGGGGCAGATCAATGCTAATCTTGCAGTTCCTTCCCCCCCGCATTCACATCCAAAGCCACTTGGAGTAGAACCAAGCTCCAGAGATGCAAGGTGGGGGGACGCTATCTGTGTGCTTGGCTCTGCTCACAGGCCGAGTCCCTGTTTGTTTTAGCAGGGACAATTGCCAGGGTGCCAGGCTGGCCTGTAGCCGTGGTGGGGCTATTGGGGGGCTCCGCCCCCTCCCTTAAAGGTCCAGCCACCTTCCTTGCAGGCCCCCTGCTTCTTCCCGAAAGCACTGAAAGGGATCCTTTAAATGCTTTTGAGAAGAAGCGGGGGGGGGGGGTTGGGGGCCCCTCTCCCTCCTCTCCTGCAAGATTTAAAGGGCCCTCCAGCTGATCGGCGGGGAGCACTAGGTCTCCCTAATGGCATCACATCCCTGCTGAGCTCCCTCCTCAGACTCCACCCTCCCCAGGCTCTGCCACCAAATCTCCAGGAATTTCACAACTCAGAGTTGGTAATCCTACTAGCTCCCCCCACCCCGAGGTCATTGGGTCCAGCATTTGTTTAAGTACCTTCAGAGTTTGGGAGACATTCTGGGCCCAGACCCCCAGCTAGGGTTGCCACCCCCCAGGTCCCAGTGTGGGTTCCCCCACTTTTAGGGGTTTCAATATGTCATTGGCCAGTTGGCCAATGGGGGAAACCCCACCCCCGAACAGGGACATCGTTGTGCAAGATCCCCAACATAATGACATCACTTCTGGGTGACATCATTGTGCTGGGGATGTTGCGCGGTGACGCTCTGATTTTGGGTCAAAGTCTATGTTTTGAAGGCCAAAAAACCCCACAGAGTTTTGCCCAAATCACAGAGCGTCGCACACGATGTCACCGATGCAATGACGTCATTTCCAGGTGATGTCATCATGTCGGGGACATCCCATGCAACATCCTGCGCACCCACGGAATGCCCCCCAAAGCTCCCTGCCACGATGGCAAGGGGTCCTGGCAACCCTAACCCCCAGCCTTTCTGAATAGCATATGGGCTGTGGTCTGAATGGAAATGGCACTGCCCTATGACCACGTTGGTTGTCCAAACAGAGGAGACACACTGGTCCCAGCCTACAGGCTTCTGTTTTAGTCACAGGCATGGGATGGTTGCTTAAGTTGGCGGTGCCCGCCCCCCCAAAAAGTTTCCTGCTGCGTCATGGCTCAAAAACGGAAAAGGTGGAGGAGGAGCTGATGGCCTTAGGAGGAGGAGCTGGTGGCCTTAGGAGGAGAAGCTGGTGGCCTTAGGAGGAGGAGCTGGTGGCCTTAGGAGGAGGAGCTGGTGGCCTTAGGAGGAGGAGCTGGTGGCCTTAGGAGGAGGAGCTGGTGGCCTTAGGAGAAGGAGCTGGTTGCCTTAGGAGGAGGAGTTGGTGGCCTTAGGAGGGGGAGCTGGTGGCCTTAGGAGGAGGAGCTGGTGGCCACACCTACCAACTTGGCTATAGCTAATAAGCGACGGCTTTGTAATTCAGGGCTAGGTTTGGATGCACAGTCTGGCAATGGGTATCAAGATAGGACTACTCGAGTAACACCTTTTATTTGTTTATTATTTTGTACGCCGCTCTCCCTGTGTCCAGGCCCAGAGCAGGTAACAAAAACATTCTAATACACAAATACAATAAATATAATAAAATACCTAATAATATATGGTAAAATGCATTATATTACAAACTGTATACTAAAAGGTGGTGTACAACTCAAGGGGGTGTATAGTCTGTCTAGTCCAAAAGGGGGAGGGAGAAAAGGGGGAGAGAGGAGAAAAGGGAGGCCAATCAAAGATGGAACCCGTCGCTGTCCTCAGCCATAGGCCCGGTGGAACATCTCTGTCTTACAGGCCCTGCGGAACTGCATTAGGTCCCACAGGGCCCAGATCTCAGCTGGAAGAGTGTTCCACCAGGCCAGAGCCAGGGCCAAAAAGGCCCTGGTTCTGATCGAGCACAGCCGAATGCTCTTTGGGCCGGGGATCACCAGCAAATTTTGATCGCTAGAGCGTAACGCTCTCTGGGGGATATACCAGGAGAGGCGGTCCCGAAGGTATGCTGGTCCCAGACCATTTAGGATTCTGAGAGTTAACACCAGAACCTTGAATCTGATCCGGTCTTCAATCTGGAGCCCGTGCAGCTGGTAGAGCACTGGTTGAATATGTGCTCTAAAGGGCGTTCCTGTGAGCACCCGCACAGCTGCATTCTGGACCAGTTGCAATTTCCAAGTCAGCCTCAAGGGTAGCCCTAAGTAGAGTGAGTTACAGTAATCCAATCTGGAGTTGACGGTTGCCTGGATCACTGTGGCTAGGTCGGGGGGGGGGGGACCAGGAAAGGGACCAACTGTTTAACCTGTCATAGGCATCAGAATGCCAGTTTAACTACATTCGTGACCTGGGCCTCCATTGACAGGGCCTCTATTGATATATATACCTCAATGTAAAAACAGAGATGGCACACAGGGTGGTGGGTGGAACCAGCCCTAATTGGTGGCACGTGCTGTCACCTGAATGGAGCAAGGGCACTGCCACTCACTATCGTCGCTGCACCTTAGTCAAGAGGGTGCCCAGACCGAAGATGGTCCACCCCCTGATTTTCATCTCAATTATGTCACTTTGTTGCAGGAACCAACGATTCCACCCTTAACTGCACTCTGTACGAGCTACAGGCCAACGAGTCTCAGTGCCCAGCGGACAAGTCGGGGAACGTAACAACTTACACCTGTGAACTGAGCACGTCAGATGGTGCCCGCCAAAGTAAACACATCTGTGTGAAGTATTTGCGCAAGGGTAAGCATCCCTTTGGGTCAGCTGCTTAGGCCGGCAGTCCGTAATGGAATAATGATTCTTCGCAGGGGTCATTTCGTAGAAAAAGAGGTGCAGGAGTTCATTAGCATAGCTCATTAGCATAACTTATTTGCATATGCCACACCCCCTGCCATCACTGGAAGTGTGTCAGAAGGCAACACCCACCACTCAGGCTCCACTGGACTGTTTTGGATTGCTAGCTATTGGGGGGGGGGGGGGAAGTGCAGATCTGTCCTCGCAGAGGAGGGAGAGCTTGTACCTGAATAAACCTTGGCCTTAAAGGTGCCACTGGACTGTTTTGGATTGCTAGCTATGGGGGGGATGTGCAGATCTGTTCTCACAGAGGAGGGAAAGCTTGTACCTGAAGGTGGGCTGGGGGGGGGCTCTGCGACTTACCTGGCTGCTTCTTGCTCCTCGTGGCCCAACTGAGGGCTGCTGGGAGCAGGGGGCAGGGCTTGTTGCATGTGCCCACCCCCTGGACTCCTTACTGCCGGAGCTCCGCTCCTGTGCGCTTCTGCAGGAAATGACCCCTGGATTACACTAGAATCTTATCAGAAAGAACATCTCCTCCTAGAGGCCTGGTAGAGAACTTTTGCTACAGATTCAATGATTTCGCTCTTATTTGAGGCTAAAAGTATAAAGGTCTTATAATCCTCAGATCGACCCTCCAAGGGTAGCAGAAAAGGCTTTAAAAATACAGCACGAAGGTCATCATAAAATCTACAATGCAAAATAACATGACATCTTCAATCTCGCTCATCCCACATAGACACAAGCTATCTATATACAGAAATCTACAATGCAAAATAACATGACTGTTATCTTCGATCTCGCTCATCCCACATAGACACCAAGCTATCTATATACAGAATTTTCTTAACACCATAGATGGGAGAACATTAAAACGTGCTAGCATGAATGCCCTATGAAGATAAGAATCACACAGACAAGATAGATATTCATTGTAAGACAGAACAGCCTTAAGCATCCTCTGCCCTACCTTGTTTCTGTCACCGGTACCAAACCATTCCGAAGGAACATGTGGAATAGTTGCCCCAGAATGCAACTGGAGGGTTTGCATATTTAAATGTCGACCTGCTTCCAAGACTCCTTGATTCTGGAAATCTAGCCTGTCAGGGAGAGCAAAGGGTTATCGTCTAGCCTCAAAGTGCTAGTTTTCCGTACATAGGAAGACTTTCCAGACAGGGAATATTCAGTCATGCCCCCCCACACACACACTCTTCAAAGCTCTACAGTGTCAGGAGGAGGGCTTTGCCATCTGATTCTTCTGAACGAGAGCTCAGCTCTCAGCTGCTGTTTGCTGGGCTTGTGTTTTGTGTATAAAGCCCGAAGGAGCAACGTCTGACCTGTGACGCCGTACTCCTGACCATGGTCCTAAAGAGAATCTCGCATGTTTTATGTTCCTCCAGCAAAAGTGACTCTTGTGTCGAGCACCAATGGCCAAGTTTCGGAGAGGGCCAATTTCTCCCTGACGTGCCGCAGTGACGTAAGCAATTATGACGAAATCAGCTGGGCAATCCACAGTGGAAACCTTGTTACGGATATCGACAGCGTGTGGTACACGACCACAAAGACCCAGAATGGAGCAGAATCTGTGCTGGATGTACGCCAGGCTAGCCAGAACTGGACCGGTGAGTAAAACAGGAATCACTGACTCCTCCACTGTCGCTGGTCCGAACAAAAACAGAAGATCACAGTAAGATATGTAACGCAGTACTGTGGTCAAACCTTCTTGGAGATAAATTACACAAAGACCAAAATAATGGCTTTTGCCAACAAGCCTAGGGTGTTTAATTGGTTTATAGCCTCTCATCCCATTGACCAAGTTCATTGTTATAGATACCCAGGGGTCATTTCATAGAAAAATAGGTAGAGGAGCTCATTAGCATAACTCATTAGCATAACTTATTTGCATATGCCACACCCCCTGATATCACTAGACGTGTGTCAGAGGGCAACGCCCACTGCAACTTACCTGGCTGCTTCATGCTCCTCATGGCCTAGGGCTGCTGGGAGCAGGGGGCGGGGCTTGTTGCATGTGCCCACCCCCTGGGCTCTTTACTGCCAGAGCTCCGCTCCTGTGCGCTCCTGCAGGGAATGACCCCTGTAGATACCTTGGAGTTGTATTTCAGTCGTCTGGTCGCATGAAAGGCTGTGTTGATTACCTGTCAGCTAATGTGCAGAAAAGTGCTGGTGCTATCCAAAAGTTCTTTTGGTCCGAAGGAGGTTGTAACTTAGAAGCTACCATTAAGTTATTTACTATAAAAGTATTACCCCAATTATTTTATGGAGCACCTCTGTCCCTCCAGACAAACTTGACCTTACTTGGAAGAACGCAATCAAAAATTTTAAGAGCTATTTTTCAAGTTCCAACGAGTGTTTCAAATGCTGGTCTGGTTACAGTGGAGTGTTTCAAAGGCTGGTCTGGTTACAGTGGAGGCAAGATTGTGGATCGCTGCTTTTCATTATTGGTTAAAACTGATCGTCTCACGCACTGGCCTTACTCATACTATGATGCAAGATAACTTTGTTCCTTTATGGCGGAAAAAGATAGAGGATAAACTGGTTTGTTATGGTTTTTCTAATCAGTTTATACTGTCTTTGGGATATGCTCCGGCTAGATCAGTTCTAAAACAAAGAATATTAGATGCTGAACGACAGATGGATGTGAGCAGGATTAGGAGCCCTGTATTTGATGTAAGTACACTTAAGAAGATAACTTTGAGACCTTACATCAAATACTTAGATATCTGTAATCATAGAAGAATTTGTACCCTATTAAGATATAATGCCTTACCCTCAGCTATATTGGAGGCCAGATTTACTAGATAAGAACATAAGAGAAGCCGGCTTCCGGTCTGGCTCCCGCGAATGGCGGACGCATCCTCGGGTCGCTCCCGAGGGCGTCTCGCCCGCCCGCGGTGGAGGAGGGAATCCGCACGAGCGGAGACCCAAACGAGCCCCTCAGGAAGGGAGGAGCTCGGATCCAGGGCACTTTAGGGCGCACTAGGGGGGAGTCGCTCTTTCGGCCGAGAGGTCGGAGACCAAGGCCCCCGCCATGCCCTGCCCCAATGGACCTTGCTGCGTGAGCGACCCCGAACGGGGTTTAGCGGAGCCACCAGACGTCACCGAGTGATAAAGCGATCATCCGAAAAAATGGAAAAAGAAAAGATCGGCTTAACTGTGAGTTGTCAAAATGCAGAGAAAAAGAATTAAGAGCGCTTCCCCCCCCCCCACAGCAGAAAAGGCGAGGAGGTTAACCCTCTATCTTCATAAGCGAAAAAGTAAAGGAGGGGGGGAATGGACTGAGCAGATAGTAGTGATCTCCTTTGATGTATTTGAAATGAAGTATGAAAAAGTTTTGTTTCTCTGGAGCACGCTCTAAGAACTTTTCTAAAAGTAAACAAAAGTCAGAGAACGCAATCAATAAGGAATACAGCAAAACATATGTGATAATATAGCCCTAGCTAAATGCTGCGTATGTAATTTCTTCAATAAACAATTTAAATATATTTTATCTTTTAAACTGCAAATTGCTATTATACAATAGAGTCGTAATACATTAATATTAATCTGATATATATAACAAATGAACTCAGACAATTTAATCATAAACCAATCACAGAAGGAAAACCCACGGATAACAGTCCCGGAATACCAATGTTACAGAGACAGTAGATACAGGAGAAGTCCTCTAGGGCCCTTTCCGCGCTAGACCCTTAATCCTGGTTCTGAGGTGTCTCCTACTAGCCATTCTGTACTACACTCAAGTTCACCCCTCGTTTTATATTTATATTATGGTCACCCCAGGTTCGGACCACCATTGCCCCGGGGTATATGGATCCTGTTGTGCCGTGGGCTTTCCTTCGATCTGGAGTGGCCCCGGTGCAGATTTAAGTGTTGAATTTTAACTCAGTTTCAATCCTCCCACCATACGTAGGACAAACACCCCTGTTCACAATGCAGAATTTATAACCCGGGGCAGGCAAGCAAATTGGCATGGGACAAAATTAGTACAGAAAACAACAGATAAACAGAGATAACCAGGAGTCATTCCGTAGAAAAAGAGGTGCAGGAGCTTATTAGCATAACTCATTAGCATAACTTATTTGCATATGCCACACACCCTGACATCACTGAAAGTGTGTCAGAAGGCAACACCCACCACTCAGGCTCTACTGGACTGTTTTGAATTGCTAGCTATTTGCTGTGGGGGGGGGACATGCAGATCTGTCCTCACAGAGGAGGGCGAGCTTGTACCTGAATAAAACTTGGTCTTAAAGCTGTCACTGGACTGTTTTGGACTGGGGGGTCGGGGGGTCCTCTGCAGCTTACCTGGCTGCTTCTTGCTATGACTGAGGGCTGCTGGGAGAAGGGGGTGGGGCTTGTTGCATGTGCCCACCCCCTGGGCTCTTTACTGCCGGAGCTCCATTCCTGTACGCTCATGCAGGAAATGACCCCTGGAGATAACTGCAAGATAAATGGTCATGAGTCAAACAGAGAGAAAACCTGGGGTGAGGTCCAAGTGCAGAAAGGGCCTAGATGTCACTATATAGGTCTGTGAGCAATTGCTTCAATGCCTGTAGTGAGATATGACCCATTGGGGTTCCCAGATACAAAAAGGCAAGAATGAGCTCAACGCAACTTGCCAGACTTGAACTAACACAGATCCTAGGTAATCTTTACATTTTGTTCCTTCTTCAGAGTTACAATTGATAAGTTTCCCTTTAACGATTTCTGTATTGGAGTTCATACACAAAGCATCTAATACCTCGGAGGAGCAACCAAGCATCATAAACCCATGAGGAAAAATGCCAAACTCTCAATTGTACCTGAGAACCCCAATGTGGCATATTTTACTATAGGCACTGAAGCTACTGCTCACAGGACTGTATAGTGACATCTTGAGGACTTCTCCTGTATCTACTATCTCTGTAAAATTGGTACCTCAGGACTGTCATCCGTGGGTTTTTGTTATGTGATTGGTTTGTGATTGAATTGTCTTAATCCATTTGTTATATATATATGGGATTAATATTAACGCTATTACGACCGTATTGTATAATAGTGATTTACAGTATAAAAGATTTAAAAACTTACTATTTAAATTGTTTATTGAGGAGATCAGATATACGGCGTTTAGCTTGGGCTACATTACCGCAAAGTCGGGGAAGACAGTGCTGACCATGACAGACAAGTGGCCCAACTCATTCCAAGGTGGCTTCATACCTTCAGTAGTTTATAACTTGGGGATACAAGGCAGTTGTGATTTTTATTCGGGAAGGGGCTGTGGCTCAGTGGCAGAGCCTCTGCTTGGCATGGAGAAGGTCCCAGGGTCAATCCTCGGCATCTCCAGGTAGGAGGTGATGTGAAAGACCTTAGCTGGAGACACCCTAGACAGTCACTGCCAGTCTGAGTCAACAACACTGACCTTGATGGACCAGGGTCTGATTCACTATAAGGTATTTCCATATGTTCATAGGTGTTTCACTGAAGGTGAATTGCAGGCCGAGGAATGGTTTTGAACTGCCTCTGACTCCCGTTGTTTGCTGGTTTCTTCACTTCAGGACTGTGCGTGAAAATACAAATTTTGGTTTCAATGGTTTGGTTTTTTTAGGCACCTATACTTGTACCTTCTCCCAAGAGTCTCTGAACAGCTCCGCTCATCTGGCAATGGAAGTGTTGCCTTTGCCTCTGAAAGAAGACATCGTCCGAGACCCCATCGAAGCCATCATCCCGTGCCCAGGGAACCAAGCGCTGAAGTGCTGCATACCCAGAGGCAGAATGGAGAATTACACTGTGACGTTCGAGGTTGGCCAAGGGCCTTCCAACTTTTGGGATGGTAGGAAACAATGCGAGGGCTCTGCCCTAACCTCTCTTGAAACCTAGATGTTTAAAAAAAATACTCAACAGGCTACCTTTTTTTTTTTTTTAAACTAAAGAGCTGCTAGTACAGTTGGTGTCACAAGCCAGGCTGGGAATGGCATAGGGCTCACTGTCAGAGCATGGAGCGAGTAAGGCAAGAGCACCAACTCGAGAAGCATACTCAAGGTCTGATCCAAGGTTATGCACAGACTGAGGAGTCTAGTCCAAGGGTCATTCCATACAGCAGTCTGAGAATCCAAGAGCTACTCAAGAGCAGATTTAGGAGCAAGACAAAGGCAGAGTCAGCAAACAGTCGAAAGAGTCACAGGGTTGAGGCAGGATCCAATGCAGTGGTTGCAGAGTCCAAGGGCTCTTGACTTGTTGTTTCCATGCCTAACGTCCTCCTTTGGCTGTTTTTTTCTAGCCATACGTCTAATGGTCAGGCTTACAGCCAGCTGCTCAGGATTAATCTTGCAATTACTCATCTTTGCTCTCAGCAAGCATGCACTTTGTCGTCTCTCCTGTAGTTCTGTTCTAAGCCTCCTTCTGCAGCACTCTAAGGGTGTGGGTGATACTGGAGGGCTGGAAATGACCAACCGCGTATCACCTCTTGAATCAGGGCTGGAGACTGTCAGTGGCTCTGCACCAGCTGTCAGCTGTGAATCCTGACAAGCCTGCAACTCATCTTCCTGCTTGCCGGCTTCTGTTGACTCAGAGCTAGCTACACAGGGCTCCTCTTCTGAGGAGTCCTCTTCTCCTGAGGAGTCCTCGCTCTTACTGAGCCCTGGCTGACCTGTGGCAGATGAGGAGGAACTCAGCAAGGTGTCTTTCTTTCTGGTGCTAGGGTTGTGTGCCAGGGTGCTGTCCCGTCAGCATGGTGGTCTGGCACCTCCGTGAAAGAGGAGAGGAGGGTAATTTTCACCGATTCCATCTTCCCACTGCAGACCTCCACTTTGTCCACAGCAAAGAAAGGGCTTTTTAAATTTTATTTTGAATATTTTATAGGGATACAGAATTTAAAAAGCATTAAGGAAAAGAATAGAGACAAAAACAAACAAACTCCATCATTTTTGCAGATATTAATGACAAACATTATTACGAAAATATAAAACATGGGAAAGTCATAATAAATCACTATAGCTATATAGACATACTACTATTTCCACATAATATATTTTCATTGTTCACAAACGTACCCCAGTATTGACTCCCAGGGCAGGGATTGGAGGTTCAATTGGTGTTGAACTGTGTGCCTGTGAGCCAGAACGATGTGACGAATAAGGGAAGGAACGGTATATTTAAGGCAACACATCTTAGAGAACTATGTGAAAGGCAGACTTGCACTCATACTGTGGCCTTAATTTTGCCTAATGCCAATCAAAATCGAAATTGCTGTGCGGTATATCTTCATGTGACTCGTGTGTTCACTCGGACGCTTTGCATCTCTGCATCCCTGTTCAGGCAAGCCCAACTTTTTATCCCTGGGCTGACCATTATCTGACTTCATTCCTGTGTGACTTCTTCCTCTGCAGGCAGAAGAGAAGAAGGCAACTCCGTCTGCCACATAAGAACACTCAGCTACGACAACTGCAGCTACACTGGACAGAATTTTTCTGCAACTTGTGAATTCAGAAACCAAATTGGTGGACGTGTTCAGAGCTTACCTATGACATTAAAGCTTGTATCAAGTAAGT